CGCGCGAGTAGTGCAGTATTAAAATGGTTCAGTTAAACCTAGTGTGGCAGATGAATTAGCCAATGTTATGGAGCAAAATAATACGAACACTGTGCTGTGCCAATTTTAATATACTACGACACCGCACATTTCTATAACTCAACCTATACCATGATCGCCCGATGAGTGTCCCGATCGGTGCGCTCGAGCGACCGATGGTGCTAAGAGGTTGAAGGCTTAATCCAAACTCTATTGCTGGCCACTCATCTCTCTCCTAGCGGACAGTTCTCCCTCGTTCGTCTTTCGCGCGTCAACTCTTCTTGGCAGCAGCTAGTCGTTGTTGGCTCCATGTAGCTTGGAAGGAGCCAATCCTTTACTCACCAGCCTTCAGTTTTCTCGAACGTCTGTCTCTCTAATCTTCGCTCGCCTGTTTATTTATTCATTGAAACTGTATGAATCTTGTAGTTGTCAAAGGTCTTGTTGATATAGTTGCACCAGCCAATAATACCTCCTTTTCCGGGGCCACTATTTCTGCTTAGCAGCATGTAAATGAATAAATAAATAAATAAATATTTTATTCTCGGCTATGCGAGGCACGCCAATTGAGGCATGATCAGGTATGTACAGCTGTACAGACATTTATGGGAACTGTAGTGACAATAGAAAATTGTTCATACGTCCATGCTTGGTACTGTGCAATGGTGAAATTGCAAAAGGACGATTTGGTTGTAGTGGGATCGGGATCCATTTGTTTGGACATAATCGCTCTGCCAAATATCGCAGACATACCTCGACTAATAATGGATAGAGAATCCTGAGTGGTCCATTGGAAGATAACTGAAGAGCAAGCTATCCAGTGTGATGATTCTAATTGAGCTGCCAGTGTGAAGCTTTGGGCTGTGACTTTGTTCGGTGGCGAGTCACATTCGCCACGTTGCAGTGTTGTTAAAGGAATATTTCTGGGTTTTTTACAGGGAGAGCGCCTGCCAGGCGAAAACACACCACGTCCTGAAACACTGCCGCCAATCCATTGAATGGCAAGTTGTAACTGGCTATATTACTTGTTGAACGTATTTTTTTGCTCCGTTATTCGCAGTCAAGTTGCGTCCCATTTTTCTGCTGACTGATGCGTTATGCGAGTGGCCATTGCGTGCCTGGGTCCTCTCCTGTGCCAGATCGGTAGGTCAGGATATGTGCATTCTTTCTGGATATGATGTGTTGATCATCTGCAGAACCACGTGAAGTCTCGAAGAATATACGTTGAAATATGTTGAAGTTTTGGAGGACAGGATAGGTTCGGAAGAAAGAATCGCAGATCCCCCGGGGTATGTAGTGAAATTGATTAGAGATAGGGGAAACCACGGCCATTTGAGCGGTCAAAGCGGATTGAAGAGCTTAGAATGACCGATTGTTCAAGCTTTGTATTGGCAGGAGAATGTGCCTTCCGTAGTCGAAAGTCATCCAGTCAAGAGATATGTGGAAGAGGTATTGTTAGGTAAATTGAACTCAGTGGTTCATGCCGCGGAAGAATTGAATCAGTGCAAGATATTGATTGATTTGTCCGGTAAGTATGTTGTAACAAGGTTGATAATTTGCCGCTCGTGTCCAGGTAAAGGAACTGTGTTCCTTGTATTGTTGTCGAAACGGAGGACAATTCCTTGGGTGCGTGTCGCCGTACCTGTGACAAACTCGGGAGAAAAAGGAAACGAACAGAGACAGCCACACAGACAGAAGAAAGGAATGCATCTGGAATACAGTTAATCAATTGCGGCGATGCCTGAACTATTGTTCCCCTATGCATGTAATTGTTATTTAAATATCGCATATACACGTATATCATAAGTGGCGAAATACGAGAATCGAGCAGAATACGGATCAGTAAAGAATGAAAGATTGAAGATGAAGCAGGAGTGTTTGGAGAGGGGTCAGAAATCAAAAGAGCGTTTAGATGAGGCTGGATAAGTCAGCAAGATGAAGCTAGGCAGTCAGATTAAAGTGGGGATAACAGTAGTAAATGTCACGAGAAAGAAAATTTGCGGGCCTACAGAGGCTATATAAAAAGCCCGTTAGCATATCAAACGAAGCTCTGAGGCTGAGGGACAGGGTGAGTTGTGGCTGCACAGCCTAGAACACGTGCGTTTCTGATTTCTGGAAACAGTCAGAAAATAGGAGACTGGTCAGACGAGGCTAAAGTGGAGCCAGGCACGAAGTGTTATCCGTCCAAGGGATAAAGCGACAGAGCGCGAAAATGAAAGAATGTAATCGTGAAGGAGACACCTAAGTTGAAGTGGAAGAGCTTACAAAGATGTCGAGGTGTTGCGAACAGACCTTTGGACCTGTCAATGGCTCAAAAGTATGGGCTCCGTATTCGGAAAGCAGGAGACCATGGAGATGAGAGCAGGATAACGGCTCTTGGAGAGAAAGCCGTATTATAAATGTCAGAAAGTTAACAGAGCGTCAACAGAATAGAAGTGTTAAAAATAAAGGCGGATATACGAGTGATGAATCATGAGCAGCAGTGCACTGGAGGCGGGGGAGAAAGAGCACTGCGTCTGCGGAGACTAGATAATTTAGAACGCAGAAGTCCGAGAGAGGTTAGAAGGCAGGAGACCGTACAGCCAGGACCAGATAAGTCAGACTAGAGTGTGCATAAAGGGCTCTATGGGTGAGAAAGAAAAAGAAAGCCAACGATATGCTCCAGGTGCTGTGCGCAGACCGTTGGAGCTGCCGGTTTCTGTTCATTAGGGTCACGGAAGTCGGAAGGTACGAGATTGTTGAGACGAGCCCGGGATGTCAGCTCGTAGGGCGAAAGTCGTATTAGTAAAGTCTAAGTGCCGACAGAGAGCATCAACAAAAATGGACATGTTAAGGAAAAAAGGGGACATGATAATAAGGTTCAATCATGACCAGCGGTGGTCTTGCGGTGAGGGTAACAGACTTTCGTCGGCAGAGTCTAGATCATTAGATCACGGAAGCCAGAGCGATGCCAGAAGACAGGAGAGCGTACAGTCAAACCCGGGTAAGTCAGCAAGCTGAAGCTAGGCCTCCAAAGTAAGGTGGGAATAAAGTGATGAGTGTCATCGGAAAAACAGTTTGGGAAGCAAGTGGCTAAATGAAAAGGCGGTTGTATGCTAAGGAACGGTCTCAGAATAAGGGGGACAGTGCACCAGGACAACAAAGCCTAGATCGTTAACGTTTGGAATGTAAGGAAGCAGTCAGAAAGCAGGAGGCTGGTCAGACGCCGCTAAAGTTGTGACAGATCCAGAGAGTTGCCTGACCAGTGGAAAAAGGATGCAAACAAAATGAGAAAAGGAAAAGTTTTCATTGATGAGTGGAAATGTCAGCGATATTCCCGACGTGGGATGAACAGACCATTGGGTCTGCCGACCCCTGATCATTAGGGTCACAGAAGTCGGAAGGTGGGTCGTGCAGACCAGACAAGAAAGTCGGCTCATAAGGAGCAAGGCCTAGTAGTAAGCTATGAATTTTGTCGCTGTAGGCTCTGTGCACCTCTGCGTATACCCGGAGCTCGCTAAGGTTCACCCCTTCCCTACAACGTTTATTCTTTTGGTGTATTTTGATCACAGCTGAATTTGTTTGTTGCCCTATCGTTTGACACTGTAGTTATTCATTAGTGACTAGGATGATTAACCGCTGAAACTCGGTCCTTTAGCGCCATCGC